GAAAAAATGAGCTAAACTTTTGCATGTTTTTCCTGTGAGATCCAATATCTGTGAGATGGGTTAGGGATTGAAGGACCCCTGATTTTTGATTAGATCTCATCCGCTTTTTCCACCGAAAATGCTGCCCAGCTAAGTGTGAAATTATGAAAATTTCTGGGTGGCTCCGCAGGTGTGTGTGCCTTGTTTTTTAATTACCTGTGAAGCAAATTACGTATACGCCGCATTACACGCCAGCAAGTGCGTCTAATGCGATGTCTGCTGTGGGGATCGCCATATGTCATCTATTTTGATAAGCTTGCTGCTTGGAAAAGGGTATTACATTTTGACATTTCATTATTTTTGGCATGTGAAGGGTCTAAGGTTTTCCTTTAAGAACTTTCTTTAAATTTTACCAAATTAATCAGGAATCGAAATGTAAAACTTTAAAACTAACAATTTATTTAATAAATAAATAGAATTACAATTTTCTACTTCATTGCAAGTTCTTTTTCCCTGCCTTAAGTAATATAATTATAATTAAAATGTAATAGTAATTATAAAGTTAGTAAGCTGCTTGCCCCTGGAAATTCAGTCTGTATAAGTCATTTAACCATCCAAGTTCTATCCCAAGGCTTGAAGGCCGTCGTCCTTTTCGCGGCGTGGTAATGAAGGCACAAAAGTGCATCCAACTGAGCGTGAAGGCGGCAACTGACAGGACAGCGGCTAGAAAGCGGAAAAGGAAAGGACGGATAAGGAGGAGTGGGAGGTGGCATCCGCGAAACATACCTTTAGGCCACGACAAGACGCCACCACAAAAGGGTTGACGAAACTTTTTGAAGTTGCCACAAAATTGCGTTAACTTTTTAGTAAGTCACTTGATTATTTGGTCGTCGCCTTGCCTCATTTCTGTGCCTCAGTGAAAGAGGTGAAAATTACTTCAATGAAGTTGCCTTGTCGTCGGCATGTCTCTGGTTTCTCAACCTCAAGCCCAGAGCCCCCTCCGCCGGGAAAAGGATACTGCCTCGCTGGACCTTGTATCCTTGATTTGGGTCGGAGTTTTGGTGGAAGCTGTTGGAAACTGGCGACATTTAGCGCATAATTGAGACAATTAAATACGCTTTGACAATGCGGCCCAAAGTGAGGGAGAATCGAGGCAAATCAACAGCAAAACGGGAATGAAATGTAATAAATAAACCGAAAGGCTGAGAGGGGTGGGTAAAAAGGAGGCGAAAATGGGTTGAGGACGGAGTTCAGGGAGTCTGGCACGACACTTTGCCAAAAGGAATTCAAAATTAATTGAGATTCAGCTCGGGGTCAGTTCAATGCCAACAGATAGAGAGGCCACACAAAAGACACATTTATCTTGACAATTCTGGGCCATTTGCCTTAATCTAAAGACTTTCTCTTGTTTAAATTGTAATTTGATTATCCTTTTTGACAGGAAAAAGGGCTCTGGATATTTTTGGAGAAATGTGACATAATTGTTTACTCGTGAAGGCAAACTATTTTTGTTATATATTTAAATTTATTTATTTATTTTCTTACTCAAATATTATATTCTTCCAACCTTCAATTTTGTTTCAGTGTTCCTTCACGTTGAAAAGGGTTGACAGAGGTCAACCTGTAAATTGTAATTAAATTTTTTCTCCGGTCATAAAAGTCTTCCTTACTCTTTTTTTGGGCTTACACCTTCTGGAATTGGTTGTCCTGGGTTCAGGATTTGATGTGCTCCCTGCAATGCCTGTTGCATAAGTGATGTGCTTTCCCCCTGACTGCTTAGTATGCATTGCATTTCCCAAGCGGATTGGGCGACTCCTTTGCCATTCTCCCACCCTTGCCATCCTGCCAAACTGCAAAACTAAGGCGACAGGCAACGAGCTCTCCGACTGATTTTATTATGCGGAAACTGATATTTCGAGCAGGGACGAACAGGACTTCCTGGTGAAGCTTCCCCTTATCCTTCGATTTCTGAACGAGTATCTTTTGCCGTATGAAGGCGCGTAATTGGAGCGTAATGTGTTAAGTTGACAGGCACGTGAATTGCCTCTAATTTGTTGCCTGTTTGTAGGTTGTCCCTCACTCCTCCTGCATGAATCCTCTTTTCCAGCTTTTCCGCTTCCCCTTACACATCTGTTGCATATTTCATGGCGTGATTACATTTTGTTCAGTTTTCTATATTTATTCTCGCACTATGTGTGCTGTAAAGTTGGCAAGTTTTGCATGCAAATGACACTTAGACCAGCAGAAGGCAAACATCAATCAGAGTTTTTGTGGGGGCTCAAGGAGGTTAGGGCAATTGACTTACCAAGGAGTTAAGATAAAGTTGCAGTCTACAGGGATATGAAAGGATACGGGAAATTGGGACATGAAACTAATAAAATTAGAAGTTATTTATGGTAATATTTACATACGAATTAGAACTTGGACTTACTTAAAGAAAGTTTATGAAAATATTTGGTTTATAGTGTTGAAGGTCTTCGAATTGAAGACATTTGAAATATGTAAAAAGTTTATGATGGTTCGTAAAATACTTTAAATTTCTAGAATATTTTCAATTAGCTAACATTTTCATATCCTTGTAATTAAACTATATTATTGACTAAGTAATTTCTTTATTTTCTGGTTACTTTTAGGTTTTTTCTAGTTAGTTCTAGTTACTTTAAGCTGCTTCTAGCTACTTTAAGCTGATTCTAGTTACTTCTATTTACTTCAAGCCGCTTCTAGTTACTTCTAGTTACTTCAAGCTGGTTCAAGCTGCTTCTAGTTACTTCTAGTTACTTCAAGCTGCTTCAAACTGCTACTAGTTACTTCTAAGTACTTCAAGTATATACTTCTAGCTTCTTGTTCCAACGAAATTATAATCGACAACTTATGATTAAATCCGATTTTCCTGGCACATTTCACTCTGATATTTAATCTTCTTTGCAGCTCTCATTGTTCCCTACTGAAAAGTTTGTTTTTTCCCAAAATACAGAGTGGTCGAACGGTCCATTAGACAAATTTGAATAGTTTTTCCCCTTCGGTTGGTTGAATGTATTTTTTCAATTTTTTGGTTCCGCGTTTTGTTCCAATGGTGTTTTTTGCCCAGTTACATGAACAGACGCCGGCGCAAATATTCGTTTTTTCGGGTTACACCCATAAAACTACAGCTAAAACAACAGCTGTGTTTCAGTCCAACTGCAAATTTGTAAACTTCTTCGACCACTTTTATAGGAAATTCAAATCGTAGTCGCCTTCAAATAAACCAAGAGGTACTAAACCATGCCGCCGCGGTTCACTTGAAATTCCTAACTAAATATTTTGCTTTTCTATTAAGCAAACTGCTGCGGGAGAAGAGAAGTTGTTAGACCAAAACCATCAGATTTTTTGCAGGAGGGTCTGGGGGCATTGTGGGGAAGTTTTTCAATTTCTACTAATCCTCAGTATGCGTAGCCAGCAAAAAAAAAAAGAAAAAATTACATTGAATTGAACTGGGTGGAAAAATGGACGGAAGAGGTAGTTGATTTTGGGCAGGTCGTAATGGCGGATCAAAAAAATTTCCCCGCATTTTTACTCCTCGTATTTTTTCGCTTTTTTCCTGTTTTGTTTGCTTGCCGCATTGAGGAATAAAATAAAAAAGCTTTAGTCTACTTTTTTTGGGGTGTCCTGGAACCACAAAAAATTGATAACGCTGCACACCCAGTCAAAAAATATTTGTTTGAGTGCGGAAATACACCTGTTTGTGGACACACTACCTGTTTTTGGGTTTTAAAAGGCTGTAGTAAAGGTTCCTAGGAGGATGTTTTTATTTTAATAATTAAGTAAAAACTAAGTAAAAAAGGTAAATATATTTTTTAGAGAAGAAATAATAAGTTTTCAGAGTTAGAAGAGCTTGGGTTCTAGCATGGTTATAGCACATAGATGCCAATCTAATAAAGAACAGGTTTCTCATATTTTTGCAAGTTGATTTATTCTTAGCCAACTATGAAGTATATTTTGAAGTTTGGCTTATTGAGATGCTTCATTAGCGCAATTGACAAACTTGTCATCGAATTATGTGCAAAATAAACACCATTTTAAATACCATTTCCGACCCCATTTTATAGAGTATTATAAGCTGCTGTTTCCCTATGAAAACCTTTATTTTTTGCCCAGCTTTTTGTTAAAGATTGGTAGACTAATATTTTTATTGGTAAAAAGGATTTGTGACAGCTTCGATTGGTTTATGGCATTTGATTGAATATATTCTCTTGGCTTTTACATTTTCCAAACGGCTTTCATTCATTCTTGTTTTTTGTGTTTCAGCTTCAGTTTCATTTTCATTTTTGCTACCATTTCGATTTCGAATTGGAGTTTCGTTTTCAATTTCATCTTAGCCCGGCTTAAACGGTTGAAGAGCCCTCGGTGTTTTGAACCCACACCTTTTTTTTCTTACAGCACCGGTCAAGTGCGATAAGTCGGTTAATTGCTGTTGGATGATGCAGCAACAAATTTCAGCGATCCGCTGCGTGACTTATCCGACACAATTCTGATCGAAGAGGTATATAATTTCCAGCCGAGTCACCGTCGACCTGCAGTTGGTGTAATTGTTACAATGGCCCAAGACACTTGACATTGGCCTCTTACAGCGGTGACATTGAAACGCAGCTCTGGAGAGCCCTCCCCTCCCCCTGAAATAGTATTTATAAAGTTTGAGGAAAAATGTTATTTGTAGAATGGCGGAAGGGAATGAGGTGAGGTAATCTCTAAGGAAAATATTGACAGATTCTTCGGCAATCAAATAGTGCAGAGCAAATGGGCAAACACATAAGCCGATCGACGATCACCGATCTTCACTTCAAAACTCTAACGATCATTGACCATTGTCAGGGCCCAAGCCACCGAACATCCGGCTGTGGCCTACGAACACGTCTGAAGACGACGCTTGGCCCAAAAATGTGTTAATGCGGTTCGATTGCGTTCGATTGACCATCGACCATCGAACTTCTTTTGGCCGCCTTGCTAATTTTTTGTATAAATAGTTAAAACGATTTCAACAGCAGCAGCAAAACGCAACCGCAGCTCTAAGAGGTTGAGCAGGTCAGAACCAGATCGTCCAGCAAGTGAAGCAAACGTTTAAGTTACAAGAAAGATGGTAAGTCACTCTGCAGAAATAATACCTGAAAGATATTTTGTGAAATGGTTGACATATTTAAGGTGTTAAAAGAGATAATTAAGTAACAAACTAACATATTTAAAACTTGAAAATCTCTAAAAAAACATTGCTGAAAATATGAATCCCATTCATGGCTTGTAAAGAATATACCAAAGAACATTTTACAAGTAAAAGTGATTATGTGATAAAATTATCACCTCATATTAATATATTTTCCTATTATTATTTTTAACAAATCCTTTCAAATTCCAGCAAGGATTCCAAGTGCTTTGCCTTCTGCTGGCTACCATCAGCCTAGCTAACTGCCGTTCCGTGGTGCGCCGCGATGTTAGCCACCTGCCTTTAGAGTACCTGCCGCCAGTGGTATTGCCACCTGTGCCCAGCCGCGATTATTTGCCGCCAGTGGAGCAGCATGCGGCCACTTTGAAACATGTCCTCGAGCCACCCCGTGATTACCTGCCTCCCCTGCCGCTGAACAACGAGTATTTGCCACCTGTCGTTGAAGAGGAGGTGGAGCAGGAGGTGGCCACCACAACTGAGGTAATAATTCCAGAAGAAACCACCACAGTGGAGCCAACCACCGAGGCAGTTATCGTCACCACCGAACAGCCGCAGGAAGAGGAGATAATCACGGAACCGCAGGAGCAGTTGGAAGTGAAGGCTGTAGAGGAGGAGGAGCCTAAGGAGAAGGAGGTTGAGTCAGCTATTCTCCTGGATGATGGCTATCACTATCGTACTCCATCTGTGGTTCCCGATTTGCTGCCCGTGAAGGAGTATCTGCCTCCTTTGGACGGCAATACTGTCGTCGAGGAGTTGCCCAATGGCGAGGAGGACTCGTCGGCCCTTCTGGATGATGGCTACCACTATCGCTCCGTGAAGCGACTCCGTTTCTAGTCTTTTACAATTACTTTTTATTCCACTACGAATTTCTGTTTCTGTTCTGTGCGACAATTGTTGTTTAATTTTACAAAATATATAGACAAATACTTCTCCGACATAGCTGGTGTTGCACGCGATTAGAAAAAAGGAAAAACAAGGTTATATTGCTTAGAAGGGTGAGGCGAATAAGAAGTTCTTATTAATTGGAGTGGCAGTAAGAGACTTTTATGATACCTTAAAAGTATCTAATTTTGTAGGTTTTATTTGGTGTAATTATTAAAAGTAATCAGTAAGAATATCCATCAAGATTTCTTATCTAAAATCTTAAATTCGAATCTCCAAAAAGACTTCTGTCATCCCTCATCACGCATATACCCTTGTAATCCCAGCCATACCTCGCAACAAACCGATTGCCGCCGTGAACATTTCATTTATATTGATGACAGGAAATTAGAAAAATGTTTTCACAATGCGCACGGAACGTGAGGCAGGGAACTCTTCACCGGCAGAGACATTGTCGCAGTCCTGCCAGGTCCTGGTTGCGTGAGTGGGTTGAGGGTCTTCCACCCATCACCCACTCTCAATTGATTTGCGGCTGAGTTTTATTGTTTTCTTTACGTGTCGGAGCTTGGCATACATTTTCATTAACCAATCTCGAGAAAGTTTTCCTGTAACTTGGAAAGGCCTCCCCCTTTTCCTCCTCACAACTTCAAGTCAGTTCAATAATTCAACAATTTTCCAATTGGCCGTATAAATATTTGAAAAGTTTTAAATGTTATTCCTGTTTCGGCGGGGTGTTTGTGTTGAGCCTAAATATAAATGGGATTTTTATGTTTCCGGCGGTTTACTCTTGTCGAGTCGCTTATGAATAATTCAATGCCGGGAAATCGAAAAAACGAATGGCTTGCCTACTTTTACGCGCAGTTGGAAAATAAAATTGTGGAAGCAACAAGTGTCTGGAATTTTGCGGATTCCTTAGCTCCGCATTCGATTTCCCCTTGAGATTTCCAAAACAAATACAACGATTCCCAAGCTTTAAGTGCATTGCACTCTACCGAATTTTCGATTCGTTTTGTTTTCTTTTATTTTTTTTGGGTAGTGGTTATGAGCCCCAACAAATCGGGGCCAAAACAAACACCTGTAAACAGTATCCGATTGAAAGAATCTCCCTGTGTTTCGTTGACTGTTGAAGGCGCCTGAAAAGCTTGCGGAAAATGTAGGAAAAGCCAGCCGAAGCTTTGGCCATTCAACATTCGACGAAGCAACAACGAGGAAAATCGTATAAAAGCCGACCGCCGAGGAAAATTCAACTTAGTTGCGGGTTTATTGTTGCCGAATGCGTACGGAACGGAGTCGCCGGAAAATGCTAACGGACTGAAGACAGTGCGAGCGAGTGAGATACAGATATTCGGTCGAGCAACAGTGAAAAGCGTTTGAAGGGCCATAGATACAAGATAATGCCCCATAGAGGAGTCGACCGCCTCCTCTCCGCCAACCGATATGTGAAAATCGCCCACTGAAGCCAAAGTGAAAGTGTGTGAAAGGTGAGGCAGAAGGGCAGGCTGGCAGGCAATGTGATAATTGATAAAAAAAGCAACTCTAGATAATAATAATAACAAATCAGAGAGTTCTTCGACAAGGGTTTAAAGTGATAATTTACAATTTAAATACACAACTAGTTGTATAAATGTAAATATTTGTTAAAACAAATTTAATTTTATTTTTAAGGTATCTGGGATAAATTAAAAATGTTGTTTTTTTTGTATCAAAATGTTAATCCAATTCATAAAAACTAAATGGTTGAATAACAAATACCTTTATGGAGAACCTAAAACAAATTTTGATTGTGGTAGCTAAAAATTATTAAAATTTCAAAACTGATTAAGAAGTAATATATATTATGACAGGCTAAATACAGAAACCTTTTCCCTTTTCAAAAGTTAAAAAATCCTACAGTTATTACAAACAAAATAAACTTGTCTGTGACAGACTTTAAAAACAATTTACAAAGTGAAAAGGACGTTCTCTTAAAAATAATTACTTAGCAAAGAAACCCATTTGAAGTGTCCGATAAACACAAACATTATGCAATATCAATCTAAAAACATCCAAAAAGAAATCAAAAATCTCGAAGATAGGCACATAAAAATCATACAAAAAGTTAAACCTGAGCCGCTGTGCAAGACAAAATCAAATCTAAATCAAAATTACCATAAACGAAAATCCCCTGTGAATAAAGATGAACTCAGAAAGCCGCAACAACTCAAATGAATCAAAATTAAATATTAATTAAAGCCGCATTAAAATTGCAAAGAAAATTGAATAACCGAAATGGTTGTAAGCCCAACTGCCTTGTGAATATGCTGCCGAAAGAAAACAAATTTTACACACTTAATTTAACCACAAAACCCTTCACGTCTCTCTGCCTTTCGCAATTAAAATGCAATTAATTTGGCAACGAATTTTGCTTGGGCAACGAGGGTTAAAGCCATCTTCATGTTTTGGGCTATTTGCAATGAAATTTCCAATTGTCATTCCATCAATGCCATCCGATCTGTTCAGTGCCAGTAACTTGATACAACAACTCTAGTTGGCTTAGCAGCTTCATTGAATTTCCACTTTTTCATTCGCACAGAATGCATTTCCCTTGGTTTTTCCCGGCGAAAGGGCTTCTGGATGTTGTTTGGTATTTGTTGTTCGGCTTTGTGGGCCTCAGCACAGAAAAGTTTATTAATAAAACGTTTTGCCTAACAAAGCACAAAAATGATAAAATAAACGCGACGCAGACAGGCGGTTTTCGATGGGGAAGGCTGAAGGGGTCCGAAGGGGAAGTTTGTTGTGGGTGGTTGGGTGTTGAATGTCATTGTTAACGGTTTTTCATAGATTGCTTAGGTAGTTTATGGGTATCTTTACTCGATTATCAGCTTAGACTGGAAATAACAGTGGATTAAATGACATTTTTGTATTTATTTTTAGTTTGAAAGAGTTTTGATAAAGAAGTAGAAGTAGTACTTTAAACTTATTGAAAGTTCTTAATATTAAAAGTGCTTAAGTTGCTATATTTTGCGAAATATTTAATCTTTTGTAAAGTATTATTTTTATTTTAAAAGCATAAACAAATATTTTATGATTTATTATTAAATAAAGAAACGAATTCATAATGTTTTTTATGATTGCCTTGCTCTTTTAAGCATTTGTAATAATAATACAATTTTAAATATTTTTATTAATATTTTCATTTACTGAGTTTCTTTTCTGCACTTCAAATTAAATGTAAATATAATCCATAAATATTTTTAAAATAAATAAAATAATTTTATGATCTTATCGCAGTACAAAAGTATTAAAGTTAACACTCTTATCCCTTCAAAATAGTTACTTTAGTAATAATTATTTGTTTTTCCTTGTTTAGAAACCTACCCAGACTACCGACTCATACAAAACACTTACTTAATCTTAATTAAGTTCTATTATTCCGTTTATATGTAACAATTTCTATGCCCGCTGAGAACTTTCACGGTCGATCAGCCTTTCTCCATGTGTCAGCGTGCATCTTTGTGCCTGTGGCCGTGTGTTTGGCACGCTTTTTGTGTTTATTAATAACAAAGTAATCAGAAATTGTAATCTCCTCGCAAAGCGTATTACAGCAGTAATAACAATGGCAACATTGAACCACCAGCCGTAACCACCCCCCTCTGCCCACACCACCCCTTTGTGCCACATTTCAATCGGCCAACCCCACCGACATTCTCATTCATTTGGCGATTTCAATGCGGGTTTATCTTTGCCGCTTGGCTGTCTTCACGGGGCTGCATCCTTGAATCCTTGGAGCCTTGATTCACTGTTGTTGTTGTTGTTGTTGTTGTTTTTGCCACTGAGCACGCTTCCGGCTGAAGTATCTCTGTTTTTGTTATGACTCAGCCCCTCCCTATGCCCTGCTTAGTGTATATATTTTCATATACTTATTTTCTATAGATTTGCTGTATATTTCTGTTTTTATTATTTTCTAATTTGACGCTTCATTTGTCCGCGGATGATTTCGTGTTATTTTCTGTGCTATGGGAAAGGGTATTTGTTTTTGCTTTTAAGTAGAATTTCTTATGTTATTTTTGTAGAAAAAAGAAGTCTTATATTAAGCTAAACCTTAATTTACTTATTTTTTTAACAAGTCAGCTTATAACTTAAGGTTTCTTCAAGGCATTTGTAATTCTGATATAAGTTTTCTTATACTAAATATACCTTCCTTGAACTGCTTTTAAACTTTCTTATTTTTATATTAGACCCTCCACCAAACTTAAACTTGAAGTTCATAAATCATCATTAATTCTGAAAGGGTATTTTATGGTTTGGTTGTAGAAACCCAAATTTACTTGTTGTTTTTCTGTTCTTTTTGTTCTTCCTGTTTTCTAATTTGACTTCTGCTGGGCGTTGATTTGAGCTTTGATTTTCGCTGACTGATTGGGATTTAGCTGATGGCTGAGTTAGGGGAGGAGGAGTGGCTCTAAGGGCCAAAGATGGATATCGAGGGCTGTCCTATTGATGACTCGATGGCGTGTCCTTATGGCTCTCAATCATTTGACTTGCCTGGAATTTGTTATTTCTACACTTTTGCCTTTTTATGTAATTTCACCTATGGCAGTTCGGTGTTTCTTTTTTCCTACCACCTGCAATTTGTGTTTTGCCAATTTGCCTATTTCGTATGCAAATTGCCAGCCATTTGGTGTCAGTCTCAACACGGTCTGAGCCCCTTTTTACCCCCTCCTTGTTTATACAGTTTGAGCCACTGGGTCAAAGTAATAAAGCAAACAAATTAATTTGGTTGTTTTCATTCGATTCGCGGCAATTTTGGAATTTGGCTTCTCCAATTACTTCAGCACTTTGTTTGGCTTTCAAGCGCTAGCTTTCGTATTTTATTACCCAAAGTTCAATTAGCCAAATATTCCATCTAAACCTACTTTTTTATTGGATATAGTTGAAAGATCCTACGTTTGAAATGTTGAAATTTACTTGTCTTTAATTTGTTTAGGATGAAATGTGTGGAAAATTTGTTTTCATATTCTTAAAGCGAATTTAGCGGTGAGAGAAGTGGGTGATGTTTATTATGAAATTTCTTCGTAGAATAATCATAAAATTCGCAATAAATTCTTTAAGCAAAAGAATGAAATTCAAATTAAAATTGAAAGAATTTCATCTACATTTTAGTGTAATTTTATTTAAAATATTTAATTACAGGCCTAATTGCAAAAACATGTTCAATTTTTGTAAAGGATTTATTATTAATATTATTTCAAAGTAGGTTTAGGCTTACAAAAGTTAAATCAACTGCCTACCGATGGCATCTAGGTCTTATGATTATTTAAAAAAAAATCAATAAATATTAGGTTATCAAAAAAGTCTTGCGGTATTTTCGCTAGTTGGCGCTGAAAGAGCGTAGTTCTTGTTTTATTCGTCGCATCCGGTCATACTATACCTTTTTGGAAAGCTCATTTCACGCGCTAACACGTATTTGATTGATAAGTCGTTCGTGCGTTATAGCGTCGCAATCATGGAGCAAAATAAAGAGAAAATAAGGCATATTTTACAGAATTACTACGATAAAGGCAAAAATGCATCTCAAGCCGCCAATAAAATCTGTGCAGTTTATGGACCCGATACAGTTTCCATTTCCACCGCACAACGATGGTATCAACGTTTTCGTTCTGGTGTAGAGGTGGGCGAAGATGCGCCACGCTCCGAGTTTTTTGCCAATAGGGAAGCGAGCTTCTATGAAAGGGGCATTATGAAGTTGGCATCTCGTTGGGAACGCGTCATCGCACAAAACGGCGCATATTTGACTTGAATCGCATTATTGTAACCAATTTTATATCGCAAGACTTTTTTGACAACCTAATATGTTATCTTAACTTAACTGAAAGACTTAGAAAGTGCCACTCTTTCATTTAAAGTTCAGATTTACCAGCTTCTTTCGATCATAGTAGAATGTCCTCTCTAATAGACTTCCCCAAAGCCCTCGCTATTCATGTTCTGATACTCCAAAAATACATAATCAATGCTGTTTGCCAAGCTACTTCCCCTTCAGCATTGTTGTTGTGGTATGTTGGTCACACGCCTTAAAGACCCTTTTTTGGCCGCAGCAAATACATAAAAAGTGAACTGTCAACCATAAAAATCTCGCACAAAAACACGATATCAGTAACAACAACAACAATCGGCAGGGCAGGCGACTACAACAAATCAGTTTAATTTGAATTTCTTTTTTCCCCAGTGAGTTTGCATGAGTGTTTGTGTGAAAAACGAGAAAGTTTTTACACAGTTTATTTTGTGAAGACCTTTTTTCCCAACGCCCACAGTAAACAAAATGAAAGAATAAAAACATCGAAAACATCGAAAGGGAGCCAAAAGGGAAAATTAAATTCGCAATAATTATTTCAAATATTTTTGCCTTAAACGGGAATTTCGTTTTTCGGTATGCAACCATTTCGGCTGTAAAAAATGCGCACAAATTTAAAGTTCAAAAGTTGGCAGCGAGAAACAAAGTGAAAGTAAGGAGAACAATCAAGCAAAAAAAAAACAAACAAGGAAAAATGCGAAAATTCTTCAGATGTTGTTCTTTAATGCATACGAAATACTCAAATAAATTATCATCAGCCTAATCAACATCAGCGTTGTCATCGGCGGGAGGAGCAGTTGGTGGGAAACTTTTCATCTTGTAAGGTATGTATGGAAAATTGCATGGGAATAAATTCTGATTTCCACCTTTTAATATAAACGAGAACATTAAGTAGCCGACCTGTGGGCGGGTGTCTTTACGTTCCGCTTGCTCCTTTGTGATTCTGTTCATTCATAAGCTGTCTGCCACTCTAAGTGCTTAATTATTTAATTATGTTCAACGTCGCACACACACACGGGCTTGTCCAAAAACGAAAAAAAACGAACAAGTTTTCCCCAAACCCGCAATATACAAAACCACTGAAGCTGTTCCTTTTTTTTCTGTTAGTTTTAGTACATTTTTCCCCGCTACCAACATTAACTTTTCCGTTCCAGCTCATGTACAGGCTCCCAGTGCAACGTTGGCTTTGGTTTATTTCCATTTCCGTTGTACGAGGCGTATGCGTAATATGAATATTTTTGTAAATTATTAAGTATACGTAATGAGATAGTAAATTTGCCCCCAACCACAGGCAGGTAGTGCGGTTTAGTGTCAGAGATGAAAATTGCATGTGTTTCCCAGTTGGCAGTGTGCGTGTGTTTGTGTGTTGGTGTGTGTGTTTGTGTGTTGGTGTGAGCCAGCAATTAGTTAAACACAAAAGTTTATGCCCCATCAGAGAGGTGGAGTTGCGCACTTCCTGTGACCCCCGACCTTCCGTAGTTACCTTCCTATCTCCCTTCTCTCTCTGTATGTGACCTCTTATCTCATAGGCTCGTCTTGGTCTTAGTGGGGATTTATGGTGGCTCATCTGACTTTAGATATGCTCGTTGGCAGTCGGCAGGTGGGCCAAGTTCTGCTTAAACTTTGAGCAACTAAATGTCCTGGTGCGGCCAAAGATGGCCTCAAAACTTTTTCCTCGGGCGCCACAGTTATCTGGCAAAAGGAGAGCAGCAACTTTATGGATTACAAAGAATTTATAATTGAAGTTGGTGTGATGTGAAAGCGTTTTAGGAAATCGATGGCTCAACGCAAATTAAAATTCGATTTAGTGCGAGGACTTAAAAGTTACGGCGAAACTTTCAGAAAGCACTTTAATACTAAAGATAAGATTTCAATTATTTCCTTTACATCAGAGGATAACCCCTGCCTACCTGTCTGGCATTTAATTTCATATCGAATAATATTCCCATCTAATCTATGCCTAATTTGTGTGAACACATTACTAATTAGCCTGAATGTCATTAGCCCACAGCTTTGATCACATTCACTCGACGCTAATTCATTAGATTTCCATTTACAAATATGTCGATACTCTGCCTGGGGTCTTGCCAAATAAAAACAATTAATGGAAATAAAATATTAAACCTTTAAATCTGTAAATTTCCTTAAAAGTGGTAAGGAAATGTTAAGCAAAGGACTAACTTCTTATATCTATTTTAGCAAAATCCAAGTTAAATATATTTTTGAACCTTTCTTAAAGAATTTTGTGCTTATTATGAAAATATTTAGATAAACTACACAATTTCCTTAAACATTTGATTAATATTTATATTCCAAAGTCAAAATTGAGTGCTGAATGTATACAGAAACCCCTTTGATTATCGTTTCACTGCAGATACATCGAAGTATGTAGTAAGATACGCAGATGTGGCCTCGTTGGGCATCTTTAATTAGTCATTGAATATTCGTCTGGCATCGGTCATATATATCTCTATCCCTTAAAAGCCAAATCCAAACAGCTGTTGAGCGTGTTAATTTATTCATGGAATTATTTTTCTTGCTCTTCTTCACTGACCTGCGACCCTTAGTCCACTGCACTCCCCCCTACCCTCAACAACCGCCTGATTAGTACGAGGAAAATCCTCTTTTGTTTGCAGTCCACGCACGAATTCGATGGCAACTTCAAGGCGAGTCCCCAAATACCCCAATCCCCAATCCCCAATCTCCGATCCCTATCCATAAAGGCTGAGCTCTCAGTTCAATATGTTTTCCGTTCGTCTGGAGCTTCCTATTTTCTTTTTTCTAATCCGAGAGTGTGGACCATCTGCTTTCTGCCTTAATTCCCCGGGCATCCTTTGACACATGAGATGGAAACTGTGAGAGTCCTTGAACTTGCCACATTCCATTGCCGAGATACGAAAATAAAATAGAGAGATTTCAAGTTCAACTCAATTACTAAAAACAAAATACAAAAATTTCAAGTTCAACTCAATTATTTGTCTTTTTCTGGCATGACTAGGCATTTCTGATTCTGGTTGAAAAGCCCAGAAATGAGAGAGATTTCCTCAGTTCCGGGTACAAATTCGCCACCTGACTCTATAAAAATTGTTTCGCTGCGGCTTTTCCGGTTGCCAAAATTAAACAAAAGAAAATAAAATAAAAAGCACAATGAACTGAACACGATTTTGTGTTTACTCAGCAATTGTCCATGAAAATGCACACAATATTTTCGCTATAAACACACACATACACACACATTCGCAGAAATGCAGGCAGATATAGAAGAATGTGTACTTATGTCGGCCATATAAACAATCATAAACTTCGTGATTTATGCACCATTCGAGAGCATCGAAATGCAATCGAACGGAATTCGAATCCCAAATTTTTCGACTCTATTCAGAATGCAGTTCACTTGAGTGTGTGTGTGTGTGTGTGCAGTTTAGCGAGCTGGAAAGTGAATGACTAAAATGAATTCGTTGGGAAATTCTTGAAAGCTCGATAAGTTAAATAATTCAGAAGGGGAAAGCCAGGAATTTGTTTAAAGTCATTTTTGAATAAATAATAAATGTGATTTTCGGCTTGTGAGTAAAATGAGGCAATGCATCTTAGTTAGTTCGGTTTGATGTCAAGAAGTTTACAATTTTTGAAATATTTTTGTTTGTTAAGTTCAATCGAAAGTATCTCCATATGAATCTAGATTTAGTTTAACTTTTAATAAATATTGAATTACTTTTTGCCAAGCGGTTATAAAAACATTTTGGCTTTAATCTAAATCAACTTTATATGTTGCAGTTTTTCTACTGTTTTTTTTAATATATTTAAATATGTTGTATCTAAATTTAATTTCCTGTTCTTTAAAGTGTTTCCTGTTGAACTACAATAATAATAAAAAACGAAGAAATTGATAATGTTTATTTCGGATATGTATATAAAAGTAAATTAAAGAAACAAAGGTTTTGGTATTAAACTTCACGACTTCCGCCCTCTATGGATGACATTTGCTCTCTTCAATATTCGCAATCGACTGACTTCAACTTAAATTAGTAAGGCGCAATTTCTATTAGGAAGAGGGTGATGGGTATAGACATTCTTTGACGAAAGGAGACAGTTCTATATGGCGTTTTGGCTGATGGAAAAAAGCTACGAGGTTGACGAATTCCGAACAGTGTGTCCCTATATGAAATTAAATAGGCTGCTTAATACCTTAATATACCCATATCCCACATATATAACAGTTTTCTGGCATATGTTGGTTAACTGTAATAAGCTGAAATGATAGTTTTAAAAAGGTTTATAAATCCCCAAACAAAAGCTTTAATATGCTAACATAAAAGCTGTAAAAAGGCAATCAATCCTTAAAACATTTAAAGAGAACACTTTGTATTGCAAAGAATACCTTTTTTTTTCCATAAACCAACTTTTACCCTTAATTGACACCTTTTGATTTAGTGCACCTGTGAGAACCGCGTTTATCGAGCAATCAATGCCTCGGGCAGTCCTTCACCGGTGACGTAGGCTGTCCGAGAAATCGAAGGCGAAGGTCTCCTTGCTCCTGGCTGGCAGCCAAATCGGCACTTGACATTGCCCAGTGACTCGGCGGAGGTCCTCGGAATGCAGTTCCATGGGCCGTATGACCAGAGGAAGGGCCATAACCCTGTCCTGCTGCATAACTTTAATGAAATTGCAACCGGCGCACAAACAATAAACAGGCAGGACATCCATACTATATAAACATAAAGGGTAACCACAAACTAAATATGCAAAGAGGGGGGGATAGTGAAAAGCCTCATGACAGAGGTCTAAAGTCATGGGGCCAAGAATTGGCCAGGAACTGTGAGCTCTGGGCCACATGAGCACATGGCTCTAAGCGCAACGCATAAAGGATAACGGATAATGGACTTAAAATAAACAAAGCCAACGGCAAAAGCGGAAGAGCAGGGCAAAAGAAAAGCAGGCGAACACAAAACACGGCAAAACAGAACAAAACACAAAATGGCAAGGAAGGATGGCGCATCGGGCCCAGGGAAACTGTTTTGACTTTGTTGCCCATGTACCCAGTGATCAGGAAAATATGGGAGTGGTGCCTCTGATATTAGCTTTATATTTGGAGTTACCTGGAAAAAGCTTAAGGAAGTGTTGTAATTTTATTGTTAAGAATTTTGAAGACATCTTTAAGGATATTAAAGGAAAAAGTGTGGTATAAGGCGTAGATTTATTATTTAATAGAAAGATGCAAATTTGATATCTGCCTTTAAATACCAAAAATTGTACAATTTGTCAAACTAAATCACAAGCTTATTTGCCATTGACTACTCTCAGAAAACTTTAATTTATCCTCAAAATATCCTTTCTTACAAGACTTCCTTCACATAAATATTCCAATATATACTTCTAAATAACTGACTACCGATTACTAAGTACCTCCTTGTCGATCACTCCCGTTTTCTATTGACGCTTCTCTTCACTGCTCAATGCACATCATCAACAATGACTAAAGGACCAAAGGACCAAAGCTATAAACTGAGACAGAATGCCAGAGGAAGCGAGATAGCATCTGGGTTCAGGTAGGATGTCGCATTCATGCGCTTGGTTTGGTTAACTTGGATCATGTCACAAATTAGTAAGTCATTTTGCCATCTTGTTTACCCATTTAGCTACTGGAAATCATTTTCCGCTTAGCTGCTGTGCTGCCAGTGAACTTTCCCATTTTCCCCCCTTTTGCCGCCTGTCTCTCCTTTTTTTTGGACCTCGTCCAATGGCTTTTTGTTCGAGTTTTATTACGATGCTCTTGACCGGTTTTATTGCCCTCAATATTTCTTGCATATTCTGGCCACAACTCATT